CAAAGAAGAGAAAAAAACATGCAGATGTAGAAATGTTTTAATAAATATTTCCTTTGACCCTCGACTTAGTTCCAGTTTTTCGTTTGAGCCTCTGTGAGTTTGACTTTGTCTCTGGGATGAATTGTGTTTTACATTTCATTTGTTTTCATTGATATTTTGTCTTTTATATTTACAGTGAGTCGTGAGAGAAACTCTAAATTCAAACTTGTTGTTCAGAAGATGATTTTCTTTTTTGGAAAGATAAAAGCAGCAGTTGTTTATCAGTTTGGTGTTAGAAGAACTTTGGCCTAAAATCTTCTGGTCCTGATCCATGGAGAGAATCAACTGTGTTTCTTTTGTTTTGTCGCGCTGCAAAACGATCAAATAAACTAAGACTACAGTTTCATTTAGTCCTGGTTTAGTCCTGGTTTAGTCCTGGTTTAGTTCTGGTTTAGTCCTGGTTTAGTTCTGGTTTAGTCCTGGTTTAGTCCTGGTTTAGTTCTGGTTTAGTCCTGGTTTGGTCGCTCTACATTTGGTGGTGGAAAACTCACACACGACCATGAGGGTGAAGTGTCTTGCCCAAGGACACAACACCAGTCTGCAGCAGAGTGAGTGCTGCCCCCCTGTGGCCCAAACCCAAAACCTCCTGAAAGTTTCAAAAGTGTAAAAAAATATAAATATAAAACACAGAGACACGTCCTGCTCCACCAAACACAACCAGACAAACCCACGAATCATCACGTCACCGGGTCCCAGCGGAGACCTGCTTTAGACCTGGTTTAGTCCCAGTGGAGACCTGCTTTAGACCTGGTTTAGTCCCAGTGGAGACCTGCTTTAGACCTGGTTTAGTCCCAGTGGAGACCTGCTTTAGACCTGGTTTAGTCCCAGTGGAGACCTGCTTTAGACCTGGTTTAGTCCCAGTGGAGACCTGCTTTAGACCTGGTTTAGTCCCAGTGGAGACCTGCTTTAGACCTGGTTTAGTCCCAGTTCAGAGCTTCTTAAATCATAGTTTAATCCCAGTTCAGTCCTGGTTTAATTCCGCTTTGATCCTGGTTCAGTCCTGGTTCAGTCCTGGTTTAGTTCTTGTTCAGTCCTGGTTTAGCTGCTTTAGTTTGTCGTCACAGATTTGGTCTGTGAAACATTTCGTCAGTTTTTCAGTAGAATTTTGTTTTTTGAGAAGAGTTTAGCTCCAGAATCTTTCATGTTCTTCCGTGTTCTTCTGTGTTCTTCCGTGTTCTTCTGTTCTTCCGTGTTCTCTCGTGTTCTCTCGTGTTCTCTCGTGTTCTCTCGTGTTCTTCCGTGTTCTTCCGTGTTCTTCCGTGTTCTCTCGTGTTCTCTCGTGTTCTCTCGTGTCTGTGTTCTCTCGTGTTCTCGTGTTCTTCCGTGTTCTTCGTGTTCTCTCGTGTTCTCTCGTGTTCTCTCGTGTTCTCTCGTGTTCTTCCGTGTTCTTCCGTGTTCTTCCGTGTTCTCTGTGTTCTCTCGTGTTCTCTCGTGTTCTCTCGTGTTCTCTCGTGTTCTTCCGTGTTCTTCCGTGTTCTCTCGTGTTCTCTCGTGTTCTCTCGTGTTCTCTCGTGTTCTCTCGTGTTCTCTCGTGTTCTCTCGTGTTCTTCCGTGTTCTCTGTTCGTGTTCTCTCGTGTTCTCTCGTGTTCTCTCATGTTCTTCCGTGTTCTCTCGTGTTCTCTCGTGTTCTCTCGTGTTCTTCTGTTCTCGTGTTCTTCTGTGTTCTCTCGTGTTCTCTCGTGTTCTCTCGTGTTCTCTCGTGTTCTCTCGTGTTCTCTCGTGTTCTCTCATGTTCTTCCGTGTTCTCTCGTTCTCTCGTGTTCTCTCGTGTTCTCTCGTGTGTTCTCTCGTGTTTCTCTCGTGTTCGTGTTCTCTCTGTGTCTCTCTGTTCTCTCATGTTCTTCCGTGTTCTCTCGTGTTCTCTCGTGTTCTCTCGTGTTCTCTCGTGTTCTCGTGTTCTCTGTGTTCTCTCGTGTTCTTCTGTGTTCTCTCGTGTTCTCTCGTGTTCTCTCGTGTTCTCTCGTGTTCTCTCGTGTTCTCTCGTGTTCTCTCGTGTTCTCTCGTGTTCTCTCGTGTTCTCTCGTGTTCTCTCGTGTTCTCTCGTGTTCTCTCGTGTTCTCTCGTGTTCTCTCATGTTCTCTCGTGTTCTCTCGTGTTCTCTCGTGTTCTCTCGTGTTCTCTCGTGTTCTCTCGTGTTCTCTCGTGTTCTCTCGTGTTCTCTCGTGTTCTCTCGTGTTCTCTCGTGTTCTTCGTGTTCTCTCGTGTTCTCTCGTGTTCTCGTGTTCTCTCATGTTCTCTCGTGTTCTCTCGTGTTCTCGTGTTCTCTCGTGTTCTCTCGTGTTCTCTCGTGTTCTCTCGTGTTCTCTCATGTTCTTCCGTGTTCTCTCGTGTTCTCTCGTGTTCTCTCGTGTTCTCTCGTGTTCTCTCATGTTCTTCCGTTCTCTCGTGTTCTCTCGTGTTCTCTCGTGTTCTCTCGTGTTCTCTCGTGTTCTCTCGCGTTCTCCCCGCTCACTGTCTGAGGAGCGTCTTGTGCCGGTCCCTCCACCTGCGGGGCCACTCGTTCTGCTCCCATCGCTGCAGGAGGCGCAGGACGTCCACGCGCTGGTAGAGGCGGCACAGTTCGCTCAGCTCCCACACGCTCTTGTGGCTGAAGCGCAGCAGCAGCTCCAGCGTGGGGCTGTGGGACAGCGCCCCCTGGCTGCGCTGCTCCAGGAGGATCAGCTCGTCGTACGACATGCCCCAGCGGCTCCCGAAGTTCTTCCAGTTCTTGACGGTGCAGTGGCTCGGGTCCAGCTTCAGCCGCAGCAGGTCCAGCAGGTCTTTGTCGTTGAGGAGGTCGCAGATCTTGGGAGCGGGAGGAGAACAGCGGTCGCACGGAGCGAGGAGAGCCTTCGGACAATCTGAGGAGCACAGAAGAAGAAGAAGATTCATGGAGACAAAAGTGTTTGTAGAAAGATTAAAAAGCAACAAATACACTTTTATATTACACCAAAAACGCCTGGTTCAGTCCTGGTTTAGTCCTGGTTTAGTTCTGGTTTAGTTCTGGTTTAGTCCTGGTTTAGTCCTGGTTTAGTCCTGGTTTAGTCCTGGTTTAGTCCTCTGGTTTAGTTCTGGTTTAGTCTGTTTTAGTCCTGGTTTAGTTTTAGTCTGGTTTAGTTCTGGTTTAGTCCTGGTTTAGTCCTGGTTTAGTTCTGGTTTAGTCCTGGTTTAGTCCTGGTTTAGTTTAGTTCTGGTTTAGTCCTGGTTTAGTCCTGTTTAGTTTACCTGGTTTAGTCCTGTTTAGTCCTGGTTTAGTCCTGGTTTAGTTCTGGTTTAGTCTGGTTTAGTCCTGGTTTGGTTTAGTCCTGGTTTGTCTGTTTAGTCCTGGTTTAGTACCTGTTTAGTCCTGGTTTAGTCCTGGTTTAGTCCTGGTTTAGTTCTGGTTTAGTACCTGGTTTAGTCCTGGTTTAGTCCTGGTTTAGTTCTGGTTTAGTTCTGGTTTAGTCCTGGTTTAGTCCTGGTTTAGTTCTGGTTTAGTCCTGGTTTAGTCCTGGTTTAGTCTGGTTTAGTCCTGGTTTAGTCCTGGTTTAGTTCTGGTTTAGTCCTGGTTTAGTTCCTGGTTTAGTCCCTGGTTTAGTTTGGTTTAGTCTGGTTTAGTCCTGGTTTAGTCCTGGTTTAGTCTGGTTTAGTCCTGGTTTTAGTCCTGGTTTAGTCCTGGTTTAGTCCTGGTTTAGTCCTGGTTTTAGTTCTGGTTTAGTCTGGTTTAGTCCTGGTTTAGTCCTGGTTTAGTCCTGGTTTAGTTCTGGTTTAGTCCTGGTTTAGTTCTGGTTTAGTCCTGGTTTAGTCCTTGTTTAGTCCTGGTTTAGTCCTGGTTTAGTCCTGGTTTAGTAGTTCTGGTTTAGTCTGGTTTAGTTCTGGTTAGTCTGGTTTAGTAGTCTGGTTTGGTTTAGTCCTGGTTTAGTTCCTGGTTTAGTCCTGGTTTAGTTCTGGTTTAGTTCTGGTTTAGTCCTGGTTTAGTCCTGGTTTAGTTCTGGTTTAGTACCTGGTTTAGTCCTGGTTTAGTTCTGGTTTAGTACCTGGTTTAGTTCTGGTTTAGTCCTGGTTTAGTCCTGGTTTAGTTCTGGTTTAGTACCTGGTTTAGTCCTGGTTTAGTTCTGGTTTAGTACCTGGTTTAGTTCTGGTTTAGTCCTGGTTTAGTCCTGGTTTAGTTTCTGGTTTAGTCCTGGTTTAGTTCTGGTTTAGTACCTGGTTTAGTCCTGGTTTAGTCTGGTTTAGTCCTGGTTTAGTTCTGGTTTAGTTCTGGTTTAGTTCTGGTTTAGTTCTGGTTTAGTTCTGGTTTAGTCCTGGTTTAGTTCTGGTTTAGTTCCTGGTTTAGTCTGGTTTAGTTCTGGTTTAGTTCTGGTTTAGTTCTGGTTTCTTTGGTTTAGTCCTGGTTTAGTTCTGGTTTAGTTCTGGTTTAGTAGTCCTGGTTTAGTTCTGGTTTAGGTTTAGTCCTGGTTTAGTCCTTGTTTAGACCTGGTTTAGTCCTGGTTTAGTCCTGGTTTAGTTCTGGTTTAGTCCTGGTTTAGTCCTGGTTTAGTCCTGGTTTAGTCCTGGTTTAGTCCTGGTTTAGTCCTGGTTTAGTTCTGGTTTAGTCCTGGTTTAGTCCTGGTTTAGTTCTGGTTTAGTCCTGGTTTTAGTCCTGGTTTAGTCCTGGTTCAGTTCTGGTTTAGTCCTGGTTTAGTCCTGGTTTAGTTCTGGTTTAGTCCTGGTTTAGTCCTGGTTTAGTCCTGGTTTAGTCTGGTTTAGTCTGGTTTAGTCCTGGTTTAGTTCTGGGTTTAGTCCTGGTTTAGTTCTGGTTTTAGTTCTGGTTTAGTCCTGGTTTAGTTCTGGTTTA